CCCTCCCCTTCCACAAAATATGGATAACAGAATATCCACCGTCCATGATACATCTTCACGATTTGTTATTATTTGTTTTGTTGCGAATTAAACTTGCCACTTGCTGGAAATGGTGGAATGTTATAAGCGTTTAGCGTCATTAGCTGCCCACGCGCAAGGTCCATGAAGTGAATAACCGCTCAGGGCACTTAATCGAATAAATATTCAATTTGGTAGTAACAAGGAACTCAAACATCCGGATAGTAACAGGAGTCATGTCATTTATTAGCTAGGGTGTTTGAGGTCTCCAAGAGAAACGTATTCAACTTATTCAATTATAGCCACCATCACATACACGAAGATTAGAGCAAGGCACTCATACAAATTTGATTACTTTTTTTTTTTTTTAGGGACAGGTCACCTGGGAAAGGGGGTGGAAGATTTTGGGGGGGATCATTTTGTTTTCAGGGGGAACAGAGGAAGAATCAGTTGTCGTCAACAGAGTATAAGGGGGACTATCAAAGTTGACTGCCAACTAACTGCCAGTGATGGGTCTTAGTAAGAATATTACAGAGCCTTATGGGGGGATCGGATTAATTTTATTGTAACATAAGCGATATCCCCCAGCTTCCCTCTCACCACCCCGTAGGTGTTAAATAATGAACGGTTGCCCAACAAACTGTTATTAACTATTAGTTGACAACAGGGTGCCTAAATGTACATAACATTGTATTTATTCCCTAAGAAAATGATTGATGCCATCAAAATTAAACCTTTGTGTTATGTCAAGTGTCTTTCTGTGTCCTAACAACAAGATAAGAAAAACCTCAGAAAAGGAAGATTTCATAAACATGCAAGATCAGCAGACGCCGTCGAGTAAAGTGTTCCGGCCTTCCGGTGTAGACACAACATTAGTCCAAAGCTCGGTCGCGCCTGCCTTTGACGTCACTTGTTTTGACGGCGAAACCTTGGTAATTAAGACATTTTTAGACAAACAAAGAGTTCTTTTCAACATAAGCTGACGTGGAATCTTCTGGAAAAAAAAACATGAGGGAAAATTCCTAGCTTTTTTAAAATTATGTCTTCTTTGCACTTAATGAAAAGCTAATCAATTGTGTTTCAGTCTATTGCCAAAAAGGAATGACACTGTAGAAGTAGGAAAATGAAAGGCTCGTCAACTATTTAATAGGTTACAAAATTTTTACAAAGGAACTAATATTCTTCGAAAGAAATTGGCAAAACCTCAATACAACTTACATAATTGTGATGTGCTATAAACGTTAGAATCCTCTTTTTATAGTTGGAAACAAAATCGATTTAATTTCCCGTTCTTATACTGTCAAGTTGTTGCTCTGAGAAGAGTCACCCTCAATTTTCTCCGCCAGCGTAATGCTGAGAAGAAGAGCTTCGCCTAAAACCGTCGTGGCCTGGGTACGAATAATTCGAAGACCCAAAATTTCATAAAGGGCTGGCTAAGCTTCTGAAGAGACTTTGGTGCCGCGTAAGTGGGGATTATGACTAGATTCTATCAATTACTGAGTTGATAATGTAAATTGGCCACCGTAAAGCTGACGTTTCAAGCGTTAGCCCTTCGTCAGAGCGAAAATTTTATACCAGAGTTCAAACGCGTTGACTAAGTTTGGTTTCGAGAGTTTTCTTTGCGTCTTCTCGTTTTATACATGAAGTTTTCTTTCGAAAAAGAGACTCCAGATTCTAATTTGACTTGGAGTTATTGAGCGAAAAACCAATCTGCGTATGTGCCTTCTATATGATTTATTAACTGGAATCAAACAGGAAAGAGTGATGAAAGAAAGAATGGTGTTTCTAATCTTACCAGCATAAAAGGTTCTTATCAGTTTTATTCTCCGCTACACCAGCTGGGTGCGGAGATCAGTTAAAGACTCAGTTGTTGCATACTAACGGCTTTCCTCCTCTAGAATACTGGCAGTCCCTCCTTTTAAACAAAGTCTCTTGCGCCAGTAAAAAAAAAACATTAGTGGAGAAAAGTTCACGATAGCAGGCCGCACGGAACTAAATTTGAGAGAAAAATCCATTAATTCTGCTAAACTTGACCAACAAAAGTTAAGTTTATGCTCCTCGATGCTCGTTAGACTCGTTTAAGTTTACAGATAGCCGCAGAAAGCAAACGACACATCATGCTTTTCTGTCTTCCAAATGTTCGATGCAACTAATTCTGTAGGAGTTCTTCTTCGCGCGAGAAAAAGCCGACACAAATATCACAAATATCATAAAAATTCATAACTCGATGATTTTGGAGGGTCAAATGCTGACCGTACTTGTGTAATAAAATCACATTGCACTCAAAATGGATGACAAGAATTATCTTCTGATACAGCTGTGTGTTCGCAAATCACTCTTCCTTGCGGGTGAGTCTGTCAAGTGATGCAATATTTCCAGCTACTGCTGAAATATAAATGAAACCTGAAAAACATACCTGGAAGTCTATCTCAAAATCTTTTTCAACTGCAGTCTGGTTTTTATCACAGCCAGACGGGAAAAAACATTTTACTCCAAGCTGCTAATTAAGCCGGTAAAGAACTAATCTTTGGAAAATCCGTTCCAAATCATCATCATTTTCTTGCTGTAGTCCCTCTAAAAATCATTCAAGCACAAGTTCTCCACATTCTAAGACGGTTTGACAAAAAATTTCAGTCCTTAAAGAAAGACATACAGTAGTTCGTCTTATCGCGAGCGTAGGACGGCAAAGAAAACATTCTGAGTTCCTATGAGAAATCGACCCTCGAAACAATCTGTTTCCGCGCTGGGCCGTATCACAAGGTTCACACTTGACTTGCATTCTGCATTCTACTGGGACGAGTAACGGCAAAAGCGTAGTGCGGGTAAATACAATTAATAATACTATAGGAGGAAAGTAAAGTTATGACAGAAATCATGACTCGTTGTAAATACCTCTGGAATCATTGTTTTCCACTCTTCTCAAATAAAATTTTCATGAATGGCCTAAGCTGTACGTGAAATTCACATTTGGAAAAAACTACATTAGAGTCAAACAGTCCGAGAGATTTCAACAGTAACCAGTGCGGTGTCTATTCTCGAAGATATTTTACTGAGCAAGGCTAAAAGGCTAAAATTCCTATCGTTGTTAGGAAATTCCTTGACGGTTCCGCCCAGGTCATCTAGAATCTTCTTTCATCATATGCAAACAAACATCGGCATCGCGAGACATACCGAGAATTCCCAACACACCCACGATTAAAACCGATCACCCGAGCATAAACACGATAAGCGTCGTTTCGCTTCGGCTTGATTCACTTTGTTCCAGCAAAAGAATGCCTATCTTTTGATACTGAGTATTATTTACCATCCATAAATAGCAGGAAAGGTCGCGATCTTTCAATTTTTTTAAAGAGGTTTAGTGACCAGAATGAAGAATATCCTTTATTTAACAAATATGATATTCTAAAAAAAAATCTTCTCACCGCACAAAGCAGTTCAATTCTAGCAAACATTCGCCTCTCTCGGCAAACACAGAATACTATTGTAATCAGGAGTTAAGAAAATTAATTATAATATTATTGTTTACTTAATTGCATCCCTCTGTTCTCGCATTCATACTAAGGTACTCTTTCGACGAGCAAAGCGGATTAAGCTAGTGGGAGTGGTAATCTACTTAACGAAAAACAAGTTCTAAGTCTCATGTTTACATTTTGAGCCGTAAGTGATACTCCTCAGCTGTATATTAAGAAGGGGTGGGCGGCATGTACAACCTATTTTTAGAAACGGTTTCCACCCAATTTGGAAACAATGGAAGAAAGAAAACTCTCGTGCAACTGATCATCACAAATAATAATTCTATATCAGTACAATTTTTCTAATAGTGAGACCACCATTGAAGAATAAAGAAAGAATTCAGAAAGTCATTTCTTAATGAGGTTATGATAACTTTGGCCATTTTGGAGAAAGAGTTAAGGTTTTAAAACTTAAATTCTATATCACAATTGTTTTACACCAATATGATTTGGATGAGAAAATCAAAAAGAAAGTATAAGAAAAAAATGAGATGATTATTTTTAAGGCTATTGTAGACACTCTTTGTCTTATTCGTGTAAATGTTAGGATTAAACGAAATTGTAAATTGCAGTTATTAATAATGATCTAATTTACATTAGGAAATAGCCGAGGTACTTCGTGGACCGTGATTCGTCAAAAACCTATCGTTTATTGCACCGGTAAAACCATGGAAAATTGAACTTTATCTTAAAAATGCAATAGACTGCATCTTTTGTCGGTTTACCGGCGTATTTACCCCCTTAGGATGGTAGGAGAACACTCGAAAAGTCTATAAATCTAAGTGTGTAAATCACTAGCCTCCGGCTCGTGATTTACAAACTATACTCGTGTTCTACTAACATTACTCTGGTAAACCAGTAGAAAGGGCAATCTATTTCTTAATAGTCTTATTTACTTTAAACCGTTTACTATAGCTAATGTTGCAATTCATACAAAAGAACAAAAGCATTTGTGGAATAAAATCACTTTACCGAGTTCTTAGCACGTATCTTTTGAGAAGACAATACGGAGGGCGATCTTTGAAGATACCCCACAGTAATACGCTTTTTATAATTCCTTTAGAAACTATAATCCACGAAAAAACACAATGGAAACCCTTGACCGGACGATGAACATGAAAATTATTGTTCAATTCCTTGGCCAGTTTCCTTCCGGTAATGTACGGAAACCGGCCGGCGTTTGAAAAACTTTAATTGAGTAACACTTCGTAATTTAGAAGAGGCCAAAAAAGATTAATCGACTACATGCACTGTTTCATCGTTTGAGTTTATGGGCCTTGTTTGCCGAAAAAAGTTTTCTTCTCGGTTCGAGTGGTATCTTTACTCGTTGCAGCTGTAATTAATAAACAGAACCAGCGACAAAATTGAATTGTTGTTTGTTTTAAGACTGAAAGTATGTTGTGTTTGATTTGCTAAAATCGAAAGTGAGGGAATTCACAGTTTACGCCGCAGCAAGAACAATTCTCTTCGCATTTTTTTTTTCATCTGTTTTAAGCAGAATCACTACAAAACGATTTGAATTGTTACTCAGGGATATAAGATTAGTAGTCATGTTTTTTTTTTCTCGGTTTGTTTATTAAAAGTATCTTAAAAGTACATTTGCCTTGTCACATTGTTGCAGTGCATGAAACCCCGACGTAATTTATTGAGATTGTTTCAACTCGGTATGAAAAGCAAACAAGTCAAACTTCTCGAAGATAAAGAGTGCCCATTCTTGGTTAGTATTTCGGTCTAACTGAAGCCACTTTAAAAATAAAAAGTGCTTCTTTTACTAATAAGCAGAAATAAGCTTTCAGTTTCAGCTGAAAAGGATATCACATAGAAACAAAAAATAGGAAAATCAGACAAGCCATCAAGACTTTGAATAAGCCAACTTATTTCAGAAAAATCGCCTATGGATGAAGCCCTATTGAAACAGATTACTGCATTTGAAAACAATTACGAATGATAGTAAATGTGCTGATGTGAAGCTCATCTCTACCACAGAGGACAGAGACACCGGCGGCATTAATAATTATGAGATACCAAGACTTTGTGGAATTAAAAAATTGGAAATCAAGAGCTAGCAAAACCGCAGTTTACCTGAAACGGTAAGGCAATAAAACAGCAAAGGATCAAAATTACCTTTGAAAAAAATGCGGAAATGAAAGTTGCAGCCATTTGCTCTGTGACGTTAATAACATTGGTGGAAAGAGGACTTTGTCTTCTCTTAAATCAGGAAGAAGAAACAAAGTAATTGTTTTAGGAATGTATGTAATAATTACAAAATAATTTTTCATTTTTTCAATGCAACTGACTTAATCAGTTTTCGAGAAAGCGCTGAGTTGAACAAGTACCTCGTTGGAAAAAGCTCGGATTCTGGTTGAAATGTACTTAGCTTTTGTAATTACTGAAAGTTCTGAGGAAAAACCTTTCTCCTTATTAATTGAATAAGAAATTCCTAGAGTTTATCTCACAGTCTTAAATAAATTACTCAATAAAGAAAGCCACCGAACAGTGGCAGAGGAACCTAGGACCGTGATCGCCGCTAAAAACTGAGGATATACTGATTATCACTCGGCACTGTAGACGGGCACCTCTCTTGTAAGCGGACACCCTCAGGAATTGGAAAAAGTTTCCGTTAGTAGAACTGTCCGCCTAAGAAAAATTTGTTCTCATAAGCAGAAGAGTCCGCTTACGGGAGAGTGTTATGTCGGTCGCTTGTTGACGTCAAACGAACGGACAGCTCGCTTTCCCGCGTACAAATGGATATTTGACAAAACTGATCCCCAATGTTCTGTTACTCTTTCAAAGATCATATTTTTGTTGATTTCCAAAAAGAGACAAATGCCGTTGCCAATAGTCAATCATTATGCTCTCTCTAGCGAGACAGCGTAAACAGAGGGAAAAAAATCCAATTTCCACTTTAAAAAGTACCCGCGTCCGTTTACGACGGAGTGTCCGCTTTCGGGAATGAACAAGTACAGATTTGGAATGGGAAGCAAAAAAAGGTGTCTGTTAGCAGAACTGTTCGTCTACGAGGATGTTCGTTTGCGGAGAGTTGATTGTATTGAATGTGTTTGGCATATACACCATCACATCGATCTGTTTACAAATGTAAGTACAGTATCTAATACGAAACTAAGTGAAACAAGTGAACAAGTTATATTAACTTCTTTGTCTATTTCTTGCTGTTTTGTTCTGTTTTTCTAGAGGTAATAGATCTCACTAGACTTGAGGTCAATAACGAAATTTTATTATTCACACTCACCTAAATGGAAACTGAAAGTTTGGATCGCGCCGACGGAAGACTATGACAAAACGGTTTTAGCTTTACTGATGATACATATAGTCATGGAATGCGTTCTATGCATTCACAAGCTTTTGGATTTTCACACTTTCGGTGAAGTATACACTCCGAAATGATCTCCCACAGAATGACACGTTTTCCCTTCACGAATCGTGCTAAAGCGTTCTGTGACGTAGCCAACCTATCATGTTTTTTTTCTTGAAAAGAAAATGCTGTTTCGCTTGAACAGGAAATCCCATGAAGAAATATACTGGTTATTTGAACTGCACCGGAAACCACGATTGACGTCAGAACAGCTGCGTACGGCGAGGCCGCAGGATGTGACTCGACCAGCGAATAAAAAGCGAAAAACCGCATACGAGGAAATATTAAATATCCAAGATGTTCCAGCGTTTCCTTAGAATTAAAACAAATTATTTTCGCGTAAATGAACGCAATTATACGTGTCTTGACCTTTTGAATTTTCGATGCTCTGATGTGCAATTCAGTGTACATTGGAGTAGATGCATATATGCGACGCATGAAAAAAGACCGAACCAATTTTTTTGGGGGAAAGAATCTACATTGATTACTACTTAAATACTCACCAAAATTCACTGAAGATCTCCTCAATTTGCCGGGATGTTTTTTTTTCTTTCATCCAAAGTTACCCGCATGTTTAAAATTCGGGTTCTCTATTTCGGGCCACACAACTGTATACTAAACTTATCGCATACCTTTTTTATCACACGATGACAGATTGAATTGAAGTTTCCGAGTTTTTTAGGAGCAAGGATGATGCCAAAAAATCTCTGCTGAAGCGTGTGCCCAGACAGCCATAACAGCTAAAATGAAGAGAATATTGTACAGATCTTGACAATAAAAGGTTGAAACTATTGATATTGAAGGTCTATCGAAGTTGACGCTTAATAAGGTATGAACCACACAAATCAGTGTACAAAATTATGTGGTTAATGGGCTTGTTATTTTTGGAACAAATGTTGACCTCTCTACTTGACACCTAGGCGACGCCCTGAAATCCTTTGTTCCCGTTTTAGAAATCTTTAGTTTGTAAACAGTCTGATATTACAGACATCGGAAATTATCAATGACCCCTTTCTGTTTAATGACCTTGTCGGCAAAAGCTCGGCTTCGTGGAACCGCCTACGAAGTTAATACTCGTGCGACTCCCGCAGCGATATCAGCTTTCGACATTCCGGAGTTAATTTACGGCAGCTTAACGAACCACATCGGCGTCTCATCGGCATCCCGAAATTTAACACGATAATTATCGATGCTTCGACCGGAATTTGCGATAATCTAGCGACTTAGTGTTAGATTTCAACGAAAGAAAGTAATTTGAATATTTAGCGTTCCTTAGGATTTAACTAGGGCTGCAAGTCTCTCCAGAGAAAAATTGTTTATTTAGAGAATAAGTTTTTAATTTTTGGAGTATCATTTTAAGAGCCACTTTAACTCCGATGAAAGCTGTTGGCTAAAACCGATCTTTTTATCTGACAACAAAAGTGTTTTAGGAATGCTGACAAAATGGTTACATTTTAATTAAACAAAGTAACAAACTAGGGTGTTACACCTTTGCTGCTTGCGGTGGGTCCGGGGTATCGTAGGAAATGAAGCTCATCCAAATTAGCTCCGTAACTTCCTCTTCTGTTAAACAAACTCTGTAAACGAGGATGGCGAAAGATTAATACTGTTTTATTATGCAGGCTGGGTTGTTTACAAGTGTAATAGGAAAAGTCCATGTAAACAACAGACAAAATAAACAGAGTTACATTCCTCAGCCAGGATGAAAATAGTGGAGGAAAAAGATAACTTGCATTTACCGTTTGATCTGTTTGTATAAAGCTTGCGCAGTCAATGAAGCGAGAACCGCTCAAGGCAAGAACGCAGATTTTTCGGGATAAGAGAGTATCCGTGCCGAACTAATCAGATATAAATCATCAAAGCTGTATTTTTAAATGACCTTTCGATATCGTTTGATCGGCTATTCGATAAACGCTTATACGTCACACTCGTGAAGTGATCGCTACTTCCCGAATTTGGTCATGTTTTCCGACGGCTCTGACCATGACAATAATTTTCCCACGATCGGACATACAATACCGAGTTTCGGTTCACTGCCTTGATTATGCCCTGAGGAATTAGCCAGCTGTTTTGATAAGATGCAAATTAAAGTTCTCGATAGAGGTGACTGCCTGCAGAGTACTCAATGTGCAGTTGTTGCGAATTAGAATCGCTCAGTTAAAGGCAGAGATCGGCAGAAGGAATGTAGATTCGTGGAATATTCTAGGACGGAAGTGTATCTGTCATTTAAACACATTGAAATTACAACTTTCCATTGTATTCAAAGTGTTTATTTTGCTGACAAAGGATTCATTTCAAACGTCGACTTTTTAATAATAAAGTTGTTTTTATCGCTCTGAGAATCATGGTGTCATCAACCATTAGCCAATCAGATCTCGCGTAGATTACTTGCGATGACCCTTGGGAATAGTTAGGTCACCATTGACGTCATGGATTGTAGTGCTTTAGAAAATTCAGGGGTTTTGATTGGCTCAAAGTAAACCTCTAGAGGACACTGATTGTTCTCTGTCAACCGCAAAGAGATTTTGTCGCCCACACGCCTACATTTCCCATATTTGGTAACAAACGGTAGAGTGTAACTCGGCGAACGTGGATATAAATCGATGTCTTCGCGAGATTCAAATCAACAGCGATCGGAAACTGACTAGTTGGTTTACTGGGAAAAAAAATACCTGCCATAAACAACGGGCGAGTGGGAGATACCACTTTCATTATCTGATTACTCATCACAGCTGATCAAGCATATTTTACACAGATCAAATCAACATGGCTCTCGCTCTCCCTGTGTCAGTCATACAAGAGGCAAGGACTGTGATCGAAGGCACCAATGCTGAATGTGACTTGGCTACAACTGTACACAATTTTGTGCGACCAATGGCCCCTAACAGCAATTTTTCCATGGCAAAAATTGACGAAATTCAACAGGTTGGTCCTTGAATTGATCATTCACTCCAGCGTGTGGTTTTACAATAGCGGACAAATTCCATCACTGAGTTAGATTACAACTCCCGCGACAAAAACTCTGCGCCAAAGATTTTACAAAAAAACTCATCGGAGCGTATCTGTTTTTTTCATACAGTCGATTTTACTTTTCTTTTAGTGGTGGGCTTTGGGAACTATCTCGAATTTAATGCCTTATGCGGATCGCCTGAAAGAGATGCTCACTTAGCGCTAATACTTTATTAGGGTATTAAATGAGTTCTCATTATTGAGCAGTTCCATTCAATTAATCATGTTGTTTATTTCACTGAAATTTCATTTACGCTTGAAGTCAATTTGTTCGTTTCCTGAAGTATACTCTATTTCACTTCGGAAAACTGAACATTTACTTTTGATAATGCTGATGAAACATTAACGCATTAAACGAACAACTCAGTGAGAAAAACATCATAGCAATTTATCATTTAAGCACGCGCGCCATATTTGACAGGTTATATTTTTCTTCGAACAACACTAACTTGATTTCGTCTTTTCCCTTTAGACGATGTGGGAAATGGAGAAATACCTTCAAGGAACAGCTCCTTCGCCACTTACTCTGAGTCCTTTGATAACAAGAAAGAGAAAATTCCGACGAGAAAGCGCCAACGTCGTGAACGATTACTTTACGTTTGATGACGACTCTGGTGATGACTGCGCTGTGGTCACGGATGCGAACAACAACGATGCGCTACCAGAGAAAGTTTTTGTGTCCGAAGTGGACACATACAGTCTTGCTCCGGAATTCACGAACACTACAACGATCACAACAATAAATCCAGTACCTGTAGTGACAGGCAATATTCACATCCAAAATGACAACCGATCTCACTACCATCAACTGAAAGTTGTTCAACCACCTCGCGATTATACGGTTATTTATCCACCTACGCCGCCAAACTCAAATCCTGGCTCTCCAGAAATGGCAACCCAGCAAATATACTTGGGACCCCTTGGCCCTCCACCGCCATACACCCCTCCAACTGTACTGATCCCACAACAACGACGAGGCTCGCCTGAACTTCAACGAAGGAGGATCCATCACTGCGAGCACCCCGGTTGTAACAAAGTATACACAAAGAGTTCACATCTCAAGGCGCACATGAGAACTCATACTGGAGAAAAACCATATAAATGTACTTGGGAAGGCTGCGAGTGGCGATTTGCTCGGTCGGATGAACTGACCAGACATTATAGGAAACACACTGGAGCCAAACCATTTAAATGCCAGTTTTGTGATAGAGCTTTCGCCAGATCAGATCACTTGGCACTACACATGAAACGCCATCAACCACAACAGCAATCTTAGAGGAACTGTGCATGAATAAAGTAGATAAATATCGTGTTTCTCACGACGAGCAAAACTTACGGTTCCATTTGCTCCGAACTGAAAAAGAAAAGATTTGGTTACAATGTGATCACAACGATGCTGTAAGCGCACCAAGTGTGGCATGGGGAAATGAACATTGTCTTTCAATCGGTTACATCATCGTTTGATAACTTTCTTGTGGTCCACTTTATTGAACGTTACAAGCCGTATTGAACATTATCCATCGTTCTGTTAAAGTGTGGGACCGAAATGACAGCTTGATCTTTTGAAATGAACCCAGAAATCGGATGATTAACCCATTGCTTTAGCGCTGTCATTTTCTTTCACTAAGAGTGCGTTTTAAGCGCTCGCAACTTAACTGTCACAGGATCAGAATTTTAGTGAAAAGAAAAGATATGAGACTCGATTTAAAATATTTTGAGTTAAATAAACGTTTGTAAATAAGAAGTATGTCAAAAAAAGAAAAGAAGAGATGTATTTTTATGTAATGGAATTTTTAGAGGTAATATTTATATGATACCGTGTTATTTTATTCAAAAGATGAGAAGAAGAAAAGAGTATCAAATAAAAAAAGCTAGAATTATACATGTTGTGTCGCTTATTTTGGCATGATCAGAGCTTAAATACCCGCAAACTCGCCCAGTCTGGAAATGATATGAAATTTGTAATTCTTGAATGTTTCGCTCCCTAGGGGTTCACAGATACAATGTCTGCTCAATTGCACAATACCTATTGTGCCAAGATTTTCTGCACGCAAATGTCGCCTTGTACAACAGTTAGGAATTCTTGAATTTCTTTCGTTTTCTATTTAGTCACAGATATCGTCAGAAATCAATGATAGATGTCGTGTAGTAGGACATGTTAGTTCTAGTCTGAGTCCTTTTGAATTTAAAAGCCTTCTTCCGAACACTTTTGTCAAGCGTTGGAGCTTGTTTTTATCGTTCCAAAGCGAGGTTAATTTCAAGCGGGTTTCTGTCAAGCGCATCGGGTTTTCTTTACTGTCTTAAGTAGCAATATAATGAAATCGTTCCATTTTTATTCCAAATATCAAAGGCAGATGCTGTAATTAGTATTTACCTGTATCCTTGCCTTTTTACGCCTTCAATTTACGGATTAAGAGATAAGAATTGGACTCTACAGTAATAAACAAATTAATATTCCGATTATTTCGTAACTGATCACGAAAACTTTTATATCCCCTAACGCTACTTGACAAAAAAAATTGCTGAGATATTCAAAAAGCTCCCGAACACCGGCATGTATTGACGAACTTCGAGATCTTGGCCCGCAAGTTCCTCCTTAATCTAGTAATTTTTCAAGCGAATGTTTCAGTTCCTTGTCGAAATTTTTTAATTGCCAGTATTTCATTTCTTATCTTGGCTGCCACCACTTCCTTTCACACTGATCATATGGCAGACTTTGGCACGAAATATTTTTTTTCCTTTTTCGACCTTAGACTTAATTCTGAAAAGTGCGACACCATTTGCTAAACCAAAATTTTTCCTGGTCTGTTTTAAAATAAATTTGGTAACGAAGACCTAACTTCCATTTCAGTCCGTTCACTTAAAGTTTCCCTACGATTTCCGTGTTCTTAAGAAAAAAAGAAAAAAGAGTCTTGGAATTTTGGCTCGTGTAACTATTAAATTTAAGTTACACTCTCTAGCTGGTTACCAGTCCCTTGAAGATTCTGACCCTTCAGTCCTGTCCACTAACTAGAGATTCCAAAACCCTAAATTCCTTGTGGAGATGTCTAAACTCTTTCACTCTCAGGATCGAGCAATCGGTTATTTCTCCTTACAATATCGATACAGATGACAAGAAAAGTGTAAAATATCAAACTAGGGAGTCTTCAGTGATCAATTAAACTGACAGATGTCTGGCAGGCAGGAAAGGGAAATGGTCTATATAAGCAACGGTTACCGTACAAAAAACGGGTCTTGGTGTTCTAAAATCTGATGAATCAGTAGAGAGATCACTTGCAATCAGATCGCTTCTTCACTGACTCAAGCAAACTTTGTAAACGAGACAGTTCCGGCATAATGTCACTTCGTTTTGACAACAAGCCCAGAAATAAGTGAGGCTAATTCATTCAAGGTACCAAATATTTCAGAAGTTATGTCTTCAACTTTTAGCGCCTGAAGACCGTGCAAAGTTTTTCTGATTTCACATTCAACAATTTCGATATGACCTTTATGTTAAGCACTTCCGTCGTCCATACGATCGTCGGTGCATTAACTCTTTCAGTTTGATTTATTTTATAGCGGGTGTTTTTTCATCTGGACTGACATAAACACATGCAGCTACCGTGGATCGGAAATTTGGACGTGCAACGTAATTTTTTGGTTTCAAAATATTCATGATCGTATTAACTTTTTTTCAAGCCAGTATCTACTTTATAGCCTTTGACATAACTATTGTTTCGGTCTTTTGAGTGACAGACCATCACCTTGATCGATGAAAACTCGATCAAGTCGTCAAAACGTTTGAATTATATTAAAGATACTAAAGAAATCTCAGATAAAAGTAGAAAATCTCCCTTAATCTTCTCACGTTTTTATTTGTATTTATTTCAGTTTGTTTTTCGACGAGTAAAAATATAAAGAAAAGAAAAACCTGATAGAAATGTCTGTGAGGAGAAAACTTTCAGCCGGTCGTTCGTTTGCGCTCGTGATCGAAAGATGTTACAAAAACAAACATGACGATAAAGAGCACGAATATTTTCGGTATTGGTCAGCGCGGTTTAGTGGAAAGAAAGCTAGTGAGCGCGGTATTTCGAAATTGAAAGAAAATCTTTGTTCACCTCTGGCATAAATCTTATTTTAATCTTATTAAGAGTGAAGTTTACGGTGGATGAGTTTTGTTTAGCTTAGCGAATCCTGAAAACACTTTAAATGAGATGAAACTGCCCCCAGCAGTTAAAAACATTTGATTTAAACTTTGGCAAGAGAACAATAGGATTTAACAACTTTCCGATACGCCAATACATAATTGAAATAAAATGAGTATCTTTTCACAGGCACGATGTGTTCAATGTGATTTCCGAATTGTATAATTAAGACTATGTTGGAAGATCCGCAGTATTTTTGACAAGTCTTGCAAGTATGATTTGCTTTTGTGGACATGACTTGACTCTCTACGTTTTACTGGTTGCAAATATCAAAAGTTAGAGGAATTTTTTTTAAGATTTAGGGACTAAGCTCAAAAGAAGAAAAGATAAAAGAACATTTCTGAAAAAAAGCAAAGCATTTTTAAAGCCACTTATAGAACAGACTGGAAAGAATATAACGGTCTGCTTTGCGGCTGAATACTCATTAATAACACTGGTTTTGTTGTGATATTGTACTAGTCGAGGACTGGTCGCGGTCAGCTGGCTAATTTTACAAATAATGAATAACAAGAAACTGAAATCAAAGTGGTTGACTATATATAACCATTGTTTTTCTTTCGACAGACTTTTTCAAGGAAACCTGTCCAAACTCAATCACACTTCCATTTAAATGTGTATTAATCTCGTTAATCGGTTCTGTATCGCCAAAACCGAAGGAAGCTTGGCTTGCGGTAATCTAAAAATAATTGAAGCTTTAAAACATATTTTGTAAACAAGCTGGTGAGGGCTTCAGTATTGTTTCCGGAGTCACGTACAGCTTGAATGAGATTAAGATAAGCTTTCTGGGAAAATGATGTAAGTTTTTTTCCGAGACCCGAGTAATATTGAAGGTTTGTTTGAAAAGAATAGTTAGGGGGTTAGTTAAACTTGTGGCAATAAAGTTAGTTCTATCGTGTTTCATTCATGAAACTTATTATCTTTTTTAAAAAAGAAGCATTGAACCAGAAAATTTCACATTTCACAGGAATGGCCTCTGTGCGAGCTGAACAAACACGGTATCAACAATCTTGAGAGCTGTCTTTAGTCGGAGTATGGGAATAACAACCTAACAAAACCGCCTGATTATCGAATGATATTTTAATCTAGAATCTTTAAACTCTTTTGAGTAGTCTTTGTCAACTTTATTTTACTTTTCATGGGAGAACTATTTAAGACTTAAATAACAATTCGACTCTCTCTGTCATAGCTTTTACTAGATTCACGTTTACCCGAGAGGATAGCTGCAAGACTTTGACTTTTGTTATTTGCCTCTTGTCCGCTTATGCAATGTGAAAAGTTATACATCTGCTTAGAATAGAATAATTTTTTATCTTTTCTGCTAATTTCCTCTAAGACTTAATAGCATAAGAAGAAAATTAGAAGTATATTTTGCTTTTGGTATTTGCTGTAACCGCCGAAGGTTCTAAATTTGATCCATCGATATAGAAACTTTTGTAGTGGCTTTTCCGAGAAGATATTGTTACTTTTCTTCGCAAGTACGCGCACACGTCCATAAATTCTCAGAAACACACCGTTGCGTCACAGATCATTAGACTGTTGCACTCCGCTGCACGAATCATAAAGGGGCAATGACCCTTGAAGTTTAGGAGCGCGGCGCGACTAACCATAGACATCAACAACCTATCCAAGGACTTTCTGCCACGAGCTATCGAAGAATCATCAACTAAATCATAAAAGAAAGGAAGACTTATTTAAAGCGACGACGCCTAATGATCATGCAACCTTAACTTGGCACATAAACTTCTGAAAAAAACTTTGAAAACTTTTCTGAAGTATCGTTTGAGCCTTGTTGCTTAGCATATTGCATTAGCCCGTTTTGCGCTCATAAAGTTTCGTAATTTTTAAACATTTTACTTGGATTAATATGTCGATTTAGGGAAATGATATTGGTTGTGCGGCAAGGCACGCTTCATGCCTCGATATTCGATCTCAGAATAGAAGCGCGCGTGATCTTGAATGTTATTATTTCTCGTCCGTGACGACAAAAACAAAGTGGCCTTTGTTTTCTTTGATATTCTTTTCTCCAATTTCGCAAGACTTAAATCACACATATTTTTGTGGTTTATTTGTCTAGTATCCATAGGAAGACAAAAAATATACATTTCTGAGAAGACGTTTCTTTCGTGCGTCAAAGAGATACATCCTCTTCCATTTGCGGACTGCGGTTGTAAATACGATGACGTAAACGGATGCAATCGTAAACTTTTCGGAAAGCCGGAAAATTGCCGAACCTTTCCGAAAAGCCACGTCGACGACCAAATTAAACCATGAATCGACATTAATTGTGTTTCGCTATTTGAGGTAATAATTGTTTATAAGTGCTATGTATATTGATTGAGTTTTAAGTCGAAAGCGGCACGTACAGAGAGAAGAAGCAAGAAACTCCTAATTTGTCTCAAAATAAAATGTCAATTTTTTCAGTTTACAGCTGTTTGAGTTACTGAATTCAGAGAGATTTGTCTAAAAATAAGATCTTGAATAAACGAAGTTTCTAGAAAAACAAGCGTTAACTAGTAGAGAATACGTAGAGAATACGTCAACAATTAATTATAAAATCGTAAATTAAATTTGTTAAAATTGAAATGTTCGATGCATATAGCTATTAAAAACCAAAAAAAAGTTTTTTCAAAATTTAGTCAGGCGCAAGACCCTTGACTTGTACAGAATCGACTTCAGCTAAAAGAAAAACGCATTTTGTAAGTTAACAAATGAAAACAAGTAAGGCACTTTACTCTTGTTCTGACGAACATCTGAGTTACAGCCAGAAGTAAGTGGATTGATCAAGTTAACTTATAAGTTCATCTTAGTCGAAACATGTTTTGTCGCAAAGAAATGTCTGAAAATGGAAAGTTGCGAGCACTTGTTGCATTTTGATGGGGACGAAGTTGTGACGAACTCGTAGGGAGGGGGGTGGAGACGAATTTATCGTAAGCCGTGGCTTACAAATCTGTGTAATTTTCTCTTGAACTATCTTAACACTCTCACTAACGATGGTCGTCGACCGATCAACGTGTGAGAGCTTTCATAATTATTGTAAAATCCATGTTCGATTTGTTTAAACTAAGTTGCGAATCAAGAGATTTGGCTTCTTTGCAAACTTTCCGAACACACCGAATGTGAATCATCACAGTTCCCGCTTCTGAACATCAGGTTTCACTAAGTCTCACAGCTTAAGTATGCACTCACGGCGATCGGCGAGCCATGCCAACGGAAAAATAGAGAAGATCTAAAGAAAAATTTACTCACTCGACCCAGTTTCCTGACCGCGTCAGAAAGCATCAAACCGAGGCATCGGTAGGTCTTTGATTCTCTACTACGCGCCAGAAATTCGAGTTGCCACTCGTACCAGAGTTTCCTAATTTTACTCTTGTTGTGCGATATATGCGGTGCTTTTTAAAGATGGTGCTCTGGAAGGCAATCTGGTGGCGAAGGTAAGAAGAAACTAAAATAATTTAGAAAGAGCTGGTTGCAAAAATAAAGCATTGTGGGTTACCAACTCGTACAGAGACAGCGGAACCTGAGTTCAACTGCAGGAGGGAGGCTTGAAAAAGAAAGCAAGCGCCATTCTCTCCCACAAATTTTTGAGGTCTAGATGTTAGGGTATAAAGGATATTAAGTAAATCATTTCGGCAAATCGGTAACCCCAAACAATTTGTTGACAAATAAAGACACACTTTGCTTCAATCCAACTTTTATTTTCATTGAATTAAATTATAATAATAAGCAGATGAATTGCACCAGGCACTCATCTGCTGAAAAAGAATCTGACGCAAATGGGTATAAACCGAAAAACACTCACAGAGTGCGTGGTCTAATAATCTTCTAAGAACTGTAATTTCTACCTCCATAGCTAAACAAGGCCAAGTCTAAGCACTGTACAAATCTACTCATGCTCTTTGGGCATCCACGCCGCGCTTCACAGAAAAAAAAAGACTGCATGGTGCCAAGATTGTTTAACAAAACATCAATCATTATTTCTTGACTTCTACACATTTCAGTTCTAATTGTACAATATGTGGTACTCTATAAACAGTTTGGTAAATGAACAAAAAGAAATTGCTATGGCATGGGTCCATAATTCACAAAGTTGCAAGATCTGAAGCCATAATCACGAAGAGTAAACCAAGATTCCTGTCATAGCTCACAAGACCAGCATCAATTATATAGATGGCTCAAAATCACTACAAAATAACTTACTTATGTAAACTACACCTGTACAGGAAACCCCTTTAAAAACGTTTCCTAACCCTTTTCACTCTCACTAAAGCTCAATAATGAATTTCTCCTCACAATATCAATACATTCTCAAGCAGAAAGACATTGAGAAGAAAGTACAAAATCACCTTCTAAGAGATCTTGTACGAATTAAGAGCAAAATCTCAAAGCTCAAATATAAGAAATGCATGGCAGACAAGATGGATAGCTGATGATTAAATCTTCAGAGTGCCAGGGTTAATATGGTAAAGCAGGGATAATTTTTTTGTTTCAATTATAAGGCATACATAATAAGTTTAATCAAATATAAAACAGGAATGCTAAAGGAATGATAACATTTGAGGAAATGCTTGAAGCAGTGATATTTCTCAACGTGTCTTGACAATAAAAATTCGCTGTTATTTACTGCTCTTAAAAATAGATTTCACCAAAGTTAACATTTTGATGGAATGTAATAAACAAAAAACCAAAGTACCCAAACCAAATCAAAACAGCCAATCAGAGCAATCAAAATATGACAAGACAACCATTGAAAAAATTGCCCTGGGAAGGTCAAAAGAGAATTTCCTAAAAAAAGTAAGTAAATTAAGATTGTCCATCTTCCAAAACTACACACTACAAGAGCAATGAACACACCACCGAGAATTCTTTGTTAATCATATAGCCATATTGAAAGTTATGCATTCCATTTGAGCTCAGAATGACTTGACATTGTTGCATTCACTTTCCTATTTTCAAGTACTTTTGAAGTACAATCACGTTGATAAGTGAAGGGTTTACACCTTTTCTTGTGGAAGCCCTTCAGCCTGTTTGCACATAATAATCCAGCCACAGTGAAGTTATTGCAGTTTAGATAAAAATGTGCTTCAACCTCAAAATGCAAGGAATGAAGGAGATCTCATTTCTTTCAGAGCAGAACTTCTTCCTTAACCTGCACTGACTAAATTACTTAACCACTGAATCATTAGTACACTCTAAGCTACCATTGCCAGCCACACACAGAAAGGAAGAAGTTAACAGTAACAGTAACCGCTCCTGTCTTTACCTTAAGCAAACTAATGCAAAGTTACTTCTCAAACTAACAACTGATGAAAGATGGCAAGTCCAGAAGTTTTTCCAGGTTTCAACCTTCTTTACAGATCACTGCTAAATTGTGTACATGTATGTATGTATGATTATTCCTGTTCATCACCTCCCTCAAAAGAAACATGCGAACCTTTCCAGTCAACTCCCTTGTCGTGTGAAAACTTTGCTGGAATGTATTTTGCATATAGGAGATAGTGGGAAAAGGAACAAAATTACATCCCTTTTATTTGAAATGACTATCATTTCTGCAGGAAACTAACTTTGTGATTTTAACCTCAAACTCCAATACAATAGCAAGGAAGGAATGTAATATTTGCCAAAAAGAAATTGCTTCAAATGGTTTTTAAGATGGGTATTGTGATTGGACCTGGCCCCATACTATGAATGGATATTGATGATGATTGATTTGTGTGGAGTTTTTTTAAAGAGTCTTAAATTGACTGAACGCTGAAAAGGTTTGTGTGGTTCTATTCTACAAGATTTTCTTTTGGAGAAATTTTTCTTTTGGAAAGAGAAGACTATTTGCAAAATCATTGAAATTAAAACCCTCAAAACTTTCATGCCACACAGTACTACCTCTAACCGGATGGTGTATGAATGAGTAATATAAAAACACACATTCTTTAAATTATTCTATAACTGAGACAGCACTGTCCACTGATCTTTGTGAGAGTACCTCAAAAAAATCTTGAAGAAAAAACTTTTTGTAAAGAAAAGTTTAAATCTAAAATTGGTTGAAAAATATCAATTCAACGTGGACTTAAACCTAACACAAAAAATAGTTACAGAGATAACTAAACTTATAATTTAAGATTTCATAATAATTACTATGTACATTTTGCCAACTTCATGTGGACTATGTTATCTTCAAGTTTTCATTGTGACAAGATGTTTTCTACATAATTTTTCCATGGTGGTATTGTTTCCACTAAATAGAATTAATTGGTAGTAATACTTAAGGTTATTTTAGTATCTAGGATTGATCATAAAAAAACAAAGTGATTGTAATTACCTATGTAAACAACATAGATTCCAAAGATTTCTTTGCAGGAAAGAATGCCCCTTTTAGCTCTGAGACAAACAGTGGAGAAATGCATATGACTTTTGAAGATCTTTGTGAAAGCATATTGAAGTGCAGTAACAATGAGCTCTCCATCAATCCATCTAGCTAAAGATGACATTCAGCTTGCTTTCTTGATGGGTGTAGGGAACTGACCAAATTCTTCAATGGTTTGACAAAGCAGACCAAAGTCACACAATATGCCACCAAATAAGTTTGTTGTAGGATGACCCTGAATTTGCCAGCATTATTGCCAATTTATGGTGAGAATAACACAGCCATACAAGGATGACTTGCAGGTTTACGCAACTAAAAGCAGAATCCATCATTGCTTGAGCTTTGTCACCATCCTATTAGTGTCACAGGGTTCCATATCTGGAGGAAGCACTTAGTATCACTGAGGAAAAATTCTCTATTTACAAATTTGACATGAGTTGCCAGCTGTACACAATGACAAAAGTTCAACTAAATATTGGAGGTATCAACTGCATCCTTCTTCCAAATGACTCCAGGAAGAACAAGCTATCTTCTACAAAATAGGCTGGCTTTCCAATAGTGTTTGCTCCTTAAATGTCATACCCCACAGACTCTTTTTGCACACTAATTCAGTGGCGCTTCATGTGAAGTGACAAGTGATCTGATCTTGAAAAGCACCTGTCACAGTGTGAACATTTGAATGGCTTTGCACCAGTATGTTTTCTGTAGTGTCTTGTAAGTTCATCTGAGCGAGCAAAGCGCCATGCGCAGCCTTCCCAGGAACATTTGTAGGGTTTCTCTCCAGTGTGGGTTCGCCTGTGAGCCTTGAGATGCGAGCTTTTAGTGTAAACTTTGGAGCAACCTTCATAATCGCATTTGTGGATTCTCCTTCTTTTCATATGATCTGTTTTACTTTAAAATGACAAAGAATTGGTCAATTTAAAAATCAGTTGGAACACAAGAGGCAAAGAGGCAAAGATGCAAAGATGCAAAAGAGTAATAGAGAAGCTTTTGTACTTACTCAGCTTTGCGAGTCTCCTTCACATTGCTTATGTTTGGTTCAGTCCTGGATGAAGGGAATTTTAAAAATGTTGATTATGAAGATGCATTTATTTATTCCATATAAATATGCACTAGTGCACTTGAAAAAAACTTTGTTGGGGATTTTGACCAGACTGCATTGAGGGGTTTACAACTTTTGAAAGGAAATTATGCAAGAACCCCAAATTTTAGAATTTTTGGAAATAAGGTCACACCACAACACAAGGAGTTGATAAAACTATGTAAACTACCTTGTTATACTCTCCTACCGATGCAGCACCACAGTTTCTTTAGAAACTAACCCCCTTTATTTACGATAAAAAGAGCTTTTTACCCTACTCTTTGTCTCCCCTGTTAACCAGTACAGAGAAGATGCAGCAAAGAGGACTAGGGTTTATCATCTTTATCTGAGAAGATTAGAAGGTCTAACCATTTGCAGATGACAAAGCAAAAGCAGCAAAATCTCCACAGTTATTTTAACCCTTTACACCCTTACATCAATATACAATTTCTCCATACTGTTCTCTATACATTTCCTATGATACTGAAAAGGAGAATTTGTTTAACAATCAAGAGCTTCTTTAGTTGATGATCATTTCCTCTATTCTCATGACCTCAATGTTTGTTTTAGGGGTGATATTGTAAGGAGAAATTAGTTGCTAATCACTCTTAGGGTTTAAAGGGTTAAAACCCTGTTGGTTCAGTCTGGGGCTTGACCACCCAACCTTCTGACCACTCAACCTTCTGCACAGCAGTCAGTGCTCTTCAACCCAAGCTAGGTAGGATTTTATTTCCTTTACAACACTGTTACAACCAAAAGTAAAAACAACAACAACAACAACAACATAAGAAAATGCAGACTCACTCATCAAAAAGAACTGCAGGAGGAGAGTGTGTTCTGTCTTCATAATTATCATCTTCTATCAGATATTCTTTTAGATGATCCCCGGGAGACACAATGACTGTTGGCGTGTTATCTGTGCCATTACATCTTCCTCCATATCTTCCTGGAGAAGCTTCTGTAACCTATTATTAAGAGTAAGCTGCAATGAATTCATTCAAAAATCTGATACCCAGCAAATTGTACATGTAATTGAAGCTCCTTGTAATCAATATTAACGCATCTTGAGAATTCAAACTATTTAAAAAATAGATCTTTGTAACATCGGAATAAAGTAACCAATTGTACAATTGTACCAATTATCACTTATCAGAAACACGAAACAGAAATTTCAAGTATGATTTTGAGAAAAAAATTGAAAAACGAAATCTGGTAAAAAAAGTTGTTTGTTTGTTCACAGGTTTTTGTGACAAATTTTCTGAAATCTAATACTGTGCATTTGCAGAGACCTTAAAAAATCATCAACTCTTGAATTATTTCTTAAAAGCTTATCTCTAATTTATTTTCTTAATTCTTGTGACTGACAACAGTTGTCTTCATAATTAAAGCACACAGTTAAAATGAAAATGATGAAATTTGAACAAAAATAAAGCACAGGAGAATGTTACAAAACATTTGCTTGGTAACTACACTGTATGCAGTCATTTAAATTTAAAAAAATTTAAATTTAGCCAAATTTTACCTAAATTTAGCAACTCAGGAGGAGATTATAGATATCGCATCTACGTTTCCGGC